GTCCGAGTTGTTTTTTTTTGTCATAATCCGAGTTGTCTCTTTTTTTATGATCCGAGTTGATCCGAGTCCAATTTTATTTTACGTTTATTTTTTTATTCGATCCGAGTTAGTCCGAGTCGATCCGAGTTGATCCGACCCGGACTGGCGGTCGGAGTTGATCCGGTCCGACTTTTGTACCTGCCTATGGATATTCTATTATCCATGGTTTCGCCTTTATGATGTTCGTGCTTTTATATGATTTTGCTCCTTAAATTTTGTTCGTATTGATGCTTGAGCTGTTTTTCTATAGTTGAGGAACTTGCATGAACGGTTGTCATGTATTTATCGTCATTGTTTGAACATTTTAGACTCTGCCGTGAAGATGGCTACCAGTAAACAACCTGCAATGGAATGGACAGATGAGCATGACATTCTTTTTTTGCGTGAAATGATTGCTAGTGAATTGTCCAGTTCAAGAAAGGCAGTCCAGACCGTGGTAAAATCTGGGAATCAATCCAAGAAAGATTGAACAAGCTCAATAATCCAAAATTTATGATAAAGGAAAAAAGGGGCGTCAGAGATCGATGGAATCTGCTTCAGATCAAGTTTAAACGCACTCAGTGCAGGACAACTCGGATTAATATTAATCGGATTAATATTAATGCTAATGATTATTATAATCCAGTAATAGATTATTATAATCCAGTGATAGATTGTTATAATCCAGTAATAGATTATTATAATCCATTACTGAGGTTTGAGCCGTGCCTAGATCAATTAGGATTACTATTAATCTTATGTAGGATTAATATTAATCAGATTAATATTAATCCTAATATTAGATCCAGTAATAGATTATTATAAACCATAACTGAGCTTTGAGCCGTACCTTAAACGATTAGGATTAATATTAATCTGATAAATATAATCCCACATAGCTCAAATTTGTACAAGTCTCTCAATAAAGAAAAATTAATATTCTATTCTAACCACGACGAATTTGCTACTTGTGCTAGTAGTTTGTGAACAAAACTCTTAATTACATTCAGCCAGTAACCGCACTCCTTATTATACGTTATTATATTTTAGTAGCAGAAGTCGGCAGTTGTCTCAGCTCTTCTGGTAATACAGTTGCAACTGAATTTTTTGCAGGGCCATGAAGATTTTTAACGTAGAATAGAATAAAGATCTTAAGTATAAATAAAAAAAAAAAAACAAAGTGAAAGGGATGTCAGTGCGCACATCATCAGAGGAAATCCTTGAATCTTTTCCAGTTATTTCTAAAAGACTCAGTCTTTCTGAGTTTGATCCATAGAGATAGTTATTTCCCAGGGAGCATTTCATGATTTGGACCGTCTGCGTATATGCTGGACTTAAAGTAGGAGTTTGTGTTAGAGGACTGGGTTTCAGGATTGGTGTCATAGAAGGAGCCATTGTTGTTGATGGGTTAGCTGGTGGCATCCACGAAGGCGTATGATTGACTGAAGTGTTGGCACCAATTTCAGCTGGACGGAAGAACTCTAGAGTTATGTTGGCAAGTGACCTTGCAGACAACATATCCTGTATGCGTTGATAACGATACTTTATACATGCCTTGTCATTCAATTTAACAAGAATGTCGCCATCTCTAATCTGGGAGAATGATGCCGACTGTTCGACAGCTTCAACAATCCAGCCTCCTCCAATTATTGTTTCCGGTGCTGCACTCACCCGGATTATAATAGAGATTAATATTAATCCGGATGATTATTATTAATAATAATCTAATCCTTCCAATTTTTGCCGTGCCTTAATCTATTACTGGATTATAATAATCTATTGCTGGATTATAATAATCTATTACTGGATTATAATAATCTATTACCGGATTATAATAACCATATTATAATCTATTATTATTATAATCCACGGATTAATATTAATCTGAGTTGTCCTGTCAGTGAGAAGAGCTTCGAGTTAGTGGAATCGATTGTGAGTTGTCCGAAAAGGATGCGCTCATAGAGGAGCTATGTGAGAAAGAAGATAGCTTTTCCGCTAAAGAAAAGAAAATGTCAGACGATAAAGAGGCAGCTGAAGAAATCAGAAAGAAGAACATGGGGCGTATGGCCTCGAAAAAAAAAAATGAAGTGAATCAGCTGGAGGCAGCACTAAAAAGAGCCGGAGAAGCGGAGGCGATGCTTTTGAATTCTTGAAAGAAAAAGCTGAAAATGAGTATTTTATTCCCCGGCAGGAGCTGGAGCTGCAAAGAAAGGAGCAGGAAGGGAGATCCAGACAACAAGATCTACAGCTTGAACTGTTACGGAAGCAAGCAGAATGGCAAGTGCAGATTTCACAGGCGTTGATGACCATGATGCAAAATCTGGGTCCAATCTGGGTAAGAAGTAAGATGCTTAAAGAAAAAAGAATTTTGTTGCCCTTTGCAGAATTCGCTTTTATTTTTAAGAACGTTAGGTCCTTGAGGAAAGAATATGCAAAGTCTTGATTCGGTATAAACCATGAACTTTCAAGTTTAAACTTATTACTGTTTTTAATCATAACTATAACAAAATTGTCAAATCTGATTGGCCCTCAACTGCCCTGATTTCAGCCTTAATTGGACAGTTTAATAGGACAGTACGCGTCATGCCTAAGTAATTGGACAGTACTCGCCATCACGCGCGCGCTTAAATGGTTTTTTTTTTTACTGCTAGCAAAACAAAATTTCGAATTTCTTGTGTTTTGGTTTAAAAAATATCACAAATTTTGTTAAAGTTATGATTAATTGGTAACAGAACTTCGTGTCGTCCAATATAGTCTGCAATCATACTCGTGATTAAACAAATCGGACTCCCGCTACGCGGTCGTCCGATTTTGTTAATCACTCGTATGATTACAGACCGAATTGGACTCCACTCAGTCCTGTTACCATTACTTATACACGTTCAAATTTATATTTCACTGCCTGCCTCTACAGAGTTTAGTATTGATTCAATAATACAGCTCATCATACTGTGCACTGTGAGAACTTACAGAGAAACTGATCATTTCTTGGCAGTTGTGTTTTGTTGTCAGTTGATTTTTATTCAATGGCGACAAGTGTTCAACAGGATTTTCCCTTATTATAATAAGCAAGTGTCCATTACATCAGGAAATACTGTATGTATGCTTACTTCTATTGGTTATAAATAAATCCATTCAATGTATGTGATTTATCTGAAGTAGTCTTCCATGGAAGGAGGGTTCAGCCCAAAACATTCTGCGGTGCTGTTTCCATATAAACATGTTATTGCATTATGAAGGAGTGCGCAGACTAGGTACATTTTCCCAACACTGCTCATGCCGATTTTCAAATTTTTCTTAAAATCCAAAAAATTTGAAATCATTAATGATATTGCCAAACAGCCACTCAACAGTAACTCTGACAGAGCTCATCTCAGCATTGTATGCTTCCATCATTTGAGTTAAAATGCCATTACGATATGGTGCTTGTAGGTGAACTCCTAAATGATACGCAGGGTCCCAAAACACACACATAGGCTCGCCTGTTGGAGAAAATGCATTTTGCTCAAGCTCATGGAGGAGGTTGGATTCCACCAGCATACTAGCATCATTCCTTTTACCTTCTGCAAGAAAAATAATGACAGAAATGTTTCTTTGTGAGACAGGTTGATATAGTAATTAATAATAATAATAATGATAATAATAACAATAATAATAATACTGACTGTTAATGGTAATAGTCAATATTATTCATTACTGTCCAAGGCATGTTATAAAAAAGTATGATTAAAAAAAACTGCTTATATTACAAACCCAGTTGTCCTACCTCTGCATCCCTCCCCACCCCCAAAGGAAAAAATACTCTAATGTGAGTATCTGGGTAAAATTTATATGACAAACAATGTGCATGAGTAACTTACCAACAGGGCCATACATATTCCCAATGAGCCCATTTGGCAAAGCGACAGACTGGAATTTTAATGAATGAACTCTCTTGTGACCATTATACACAATTCTTTGTTGTTGATTAGGACGAGCTATGGACCTCATTGTCCCATCAATAAACCCAAAACAGTTTTCTAGAGGACTGCCTTTTGTATGGATGGCATCAGCATACTCCTGCAACAATGGGGAACTCAAAACATCGCGATTCCATTGTGAGATTCTGTGGCTGTGATTGTTAAAGATGTTATCCACGACTTCGTTCGTGATCATGCATAACTCTGGAACTGGTCTTCCAATTAAGTAACATACATAAACCTTCCACTGTATTACAGATTGTTCTTTGTGGACAATTAATGTTCACTGGAAGTTGAAGAACGTTTGCCAGTACGGGGATATCTTGTTTTTGGACTCTGAACTCTGCCAAACATTCGGCCTCGTCGATGTTTTGAAGATCAAATCTTGCATACGAAAATCTGGGTTCTTGGAACGGTAGCTCTCCCACAAGACCTAGAATTCATCGTCTGAGATTATGTTACCATCATACGCTAGTAACAACATCCTTCTTGTTTCACGAAAAGACATTATTCACAACGGTTTTCTTGAGCTTTCGAGGCAGGTTTCGGGAATAGTTGCCGTCGCAAAAACGCCTCTGGTTAACTTTGTATTTTGGCGGGAACGACGGCGCCCTCTTACCCAGCTTGTTTACTGACGTCGCTGTCATCCCTGAAACGTCTGGTGCTTAAGTTCCCTATTTTGTTATCTTTGACAACGCGGAAGAGCAGGAACTGGCGCCCTTCTTAAAACCGCTTTGACTAGTTCCTAGTAACGAGTAAAGCCTGGGTACTAGAGCTTTGTACCGGAAGTGAAGTCAACAAAACATAAAGACGAAACCACATCACATAATGAACAAACCACATCACGTAATGAACAAACCACATAATGAAGTAACCACAAGACATAATGAAGTTTGACGAGACTTAATGAAGTAACTACAAGACATAATGAAGTACTTGAAGTAACCATAAGGCATAATGAAGTAACCACGAGACATAAGGAAGAAACCACACCACATAATGACGAAACCATACCACATAATGATAAACAACCACATAAGAAAGTTATGGCTTTCCATACACCAACACTGTCACGTGTCTTCCGATGAGTATTATATGCATTCGGGACACCATTATATCTAGTACTCATACCTTTATGAGCGGTCCATCAATGAATATATTGACATATGTTCCTTATATACGGAGTCCATTAACAAATATATTGCGTGCCTACTGTGATATACGTAGTGTATTTTTCATTATATGGCGTGCTTTTGTCGATATGTACAGTGCACGTTTTAATATGTGTTGTCAAAACTTCATTATATGTGGTTCATTTTCTTATCGTTTGGCATTACGTTCAGTACGGTTGACTGCTTGTGGACCTTAACGCAGCATAAAAATAACACCCGATCTTGTTTGTAAACTCTCAGTACAAGAGCTAGAAAGTCTAGGATTAACCTCTCGAAGAGAGATGATGGCTGTCAGAGTCGAGTGTGCAACGTTTGGAGGAGAAGCACCAAGGAAAGTCAAAGCAACTTGTGGAGCTTCATCATTCTCCATTCCTAAGTGAGTTCTTGAGAATCTATTAGGGGAAGGTTTTACTATCAAAGAAATTTCTATTTTGTCTGTTTCTGAAAGTACTATTTACCGCAGGATGAGTCTCTTTGGACTAAGCAAGTCAGATTTCACAGACATTTCAGATTTGGAACTAGATCAGCATATTGAAAACATTACTGAAGATTTTCCATACCGCGGAGAAAGTTTAATCAAGCAATTCCTGATCGAGAAAGAGGTTATAGTGCAAAGGATGCGTATTAGAGATAGTTTGCACCGAGTGAACGGAGATGGAGTAAATGCTAGGAAAAAAGGGCGCCTGCATAGACGCGTCTACGATGTACAGGGTCCTAATCACGTTTGGCATATAGACACGAATCACAAGTTGGTGCGGTGGTACTTTGTAGTTTTTGGTGCCATTGATGGATTTAGTCGTCTGCCAGTGGCACTAGAATGCAGAACCAATAACAAGACTGAGACTGTGCTTGAATGTTTTTTGAAAGGTGTGGAAAACTACGGCCTCCCAAGCAGAGCAGGGGCGGATCTAGGGGGAGGGTGCAGGGAGTGTTGGACGAAGAGAGAGTTGAGAACAGACGCCCAATATTTGAGGCTCCAGGTGCTTTGAGATTTTACGTAATCAAGTCCCTTCAAATTGGACATCTTCAAACTATGGGATAGATGTATATTTAACGGTGCTGGACATCATTGAGAATTTAGATGCAAATGGCAGATGATTTGCGAGTACAAAGCAAATAAGAGGACCAAAATGTAGCCTTAGCCATTTCATGTTAAAAAGCTGGGGAGGAGACTGTGCTAGGGTTAGCGGGTAAGGAAAATCATAAAAATGACACAGGTTTGCATTACTAGCAAAAAGTGCTTGGCAAACGCCTGAAGTAACTATCATTACCGCTATTCAATTTTTATGTAACCGTGCATGTAAAAACAAATTATATGACAACCATTGCCTTATCAGGTACTTCATCAGAACCATTGAGTAGTGTCAAGTTAGTTTAGGTTGTGTGTGTGTGTATGTTATTGGAATACCTGTCTATCATTGTAAATCATAAAATGCACTTTACGTTTCTCGGTTGAAGACAATTGTATATAGATAGTTCTCAGTTTTTTTAATCAGCATTTCGCTTTATGGTTGAAATTACTCTTCCTATGTAAGCTATGGACATTGTTAAGAACGTTATTTACCCCAACTGGGAAACTGATTTCTGCTGAATCGAATGTATATGATACCGTCCCACGATGTAAGTGACAAAATAAATCAAANTGCTTTGAGATTTTACGTAATCAAGTCCCTTCAAATTGGACATCTTCAAACTATGGGATAGATGTATATTTAACGGTGCTGGACATCATTGAGAATTTAGATGCAAATGGCAGATGATTTGCGAGTACAAAGCAAATAAGAGGACCAAAATGTAGCCTTAGCCATTTCATGTTAAAAAGCTGGGGAGGAGACTGTGCTAGGGTTAGCGGGTAAGGAAAATCATAAAAATGACACAGGTTTGCATTACTAGCAAAAAGTGCTTGGCAAACGCCTGAAGTAACTATCATTACCGCTATTCAATTTTTATGTAACCGTGCATGTAAAAACAAATTATATGACAACCATTGCCTTATCAGGTACTTCATCAGAACCATTGAGTAGTGTCAAGTTAGTTTAGGTTGTGTGTGTGTGTATGTTATTGGAATACCTGTCTATCATTGTAAATCATAAAATGCACTTTACGTTTCTCGGTTGAAGACAATTGTATATAGATAGTTCTCAGTTTTTTTAATCAGCATTTCGCTTTATGGTTGAAATTACTCTTCCTATGTAAGCTATGGACATTGTTAAGAACGTTATTTACCCCAACTGGGAAACTGATTTCTGCTGAATCGAATGTATATGATACCGTCCCACGATGTAAGTGACAAAATAAATCAAAATTTGTTCACCGTAGTCAAGAACGTCTTTATTAAAACTTGAACGTTTAAACGTAAATGCCAAACCTTAGTCATGCAGGTAAATAATAATACTCTAAATAGAATAGTGTTGCAAGGAACAATATTTATGTTATGAAACGGTAATGTAATTTCTATTTCGATCTACACAAGAACAATAACATCACAAGCAAATCGATCTGCTAAACACACAAATTGACCTGTCCATGTGCGTCGGGATGGATTTTCCCTCTTAGCAGACTTTGAGGTTCCAGAACCTTTTTCACGGCGGCTGCTGTACGGCTGAAAAAGCCTCCTTCTTTCCTCGATCAACTGCTGAGCTTGAGAAGAGCCGACAGAGCTCGTGGAAGCCACATTTGTTCGCCTTTCTCCATCAGCGAACTGTTTGCAATTTTCTTTGAGGCGGACGCGGTCCCCTAAAGTCTCTACACCCAGACGCATCAGACAGCTATCTGACATCGCCAGAATAGCGTGTGGGTCGATTTTCTCATCTGCAAATCTCTTGGAAAGCGTCGAAAGCCCAACTTTGAAGGATAGACTCCATTTTGTTTCAAAATGGCGGGATCAAAGGAAACGAGGGAGCTTGGAAACTAATATTCCTGCGATGCATTGTGGGTATATCATCAGAAAGTTTGCTGATCAAACTTTTTGTACTGCTCATAACATTGCTGCTGGAGTTCAATGCTGCGTTAAGGTGGCTCGACTGGATTTTCTGGGGAGGATACCTCCCAAGTTTGAGCATTAACTACGTTGCCATGAGTAAAGATATGGGAAAAAGATTACCACAACTGTATTATATAAAGATGAAAATTTCTTATGATCTGGGTTTTATTGCAATCAGAGTCGCCATAGCAACGTAACGACGCCATTACGTTTTTTATTTATCTCTGTGTTTCTCTGTACCAAGAGTTTTTTTTAAGAAATCGCTTAAGGGAGTTTGTACCTGCCATAATTGCCTCAATTATGGCAAAGTTTGAACAAATTTTATGCGAGCGTTTTTGAGATATTTTGAAGCGAAGTTTTAAGCATCATAAAAACAGTGAAATAGCATGCTATCCACACAATTAGCTAAATTTTTAAGAAAATGACAAGCTTGGGAAACTCGGCTTCATCTCATAGTGGTTTGATTCCATTGAAAACTGCGTACAAAAAAAGAGGAGAAATGCTCCGAGCGATCGCGAGTAAGAAGAATTTTAGTAACTTGCATTCAGCTGCTTTTGTTACTGTTTTTGCACGTAATTTGGTCCATGCCTACAAATTTCGCATTTTTCAAAAAACCGCTCGATAAATTTTTTTTATAAATTTGACAATCCCGAGATCAATCGTCTATAAATATACCCTGCAAGTTTCAAGAACATTGAAAACAGAAAAGGCTTTTAAATAGGGCCTCGAATATAACCAATTTTCCCCCCAGATTTTGTGTTTACAAGTGAGCGTCCTCATTATTCACTGGTATTGTTTCCAAGTTTCTTATACACGTGCACATTTAGCAAAAAGATAGAATTTGCATCAAAAAGGACCCTCGGTTAAATCTCCCGAATATGCTAATAACCAGGTAAAGAAATTAGTGATATATTATAACATCACATTGACTCTTTGTGAGAGTTTCTGTGATGTTGTAACTCGAGTAAGATAACTAAGAATTGCATCCTACAAGATGAGCCGTGACGTTCGTTCACCGTCTCGGCTCTCACTGCTATCTGTGACACAAGCCAGTTATTAGCATATTCCGGATATTTCTTCCGAAAGTAATCGAGAGCTCTTTTTGATGCAAATTTATTTCTTTTTGCTAAATGTGCACGTGCATATGAAACTTGGAAACAATGCCAGTGAATAATGAGAACGCTCACTTGTAAACACAAAACCTGGGGGAAAAATTGTTTATATTTGACGCCCTATTTAAAAGTCTTCTCTGTTTTCAATGTTCTTGAAACTTGTAGGGTATATTTATTGGCAATTGATATCGGGATTGTCAAATTTATAAAAAAAATTTATCGAGCGGTTTTTTAAAAAATGCGAAAATTGTAGGAATAGGCCAAATTACGTGCAGAAACTATACAAAAGCAGCGGAATGCAAGTTAATAAAATCCTTCTTACACGCGATCGCCCAGAGCAATTCCCTTCTTTTCTTGTACGCAGTTTTCAATGGAATCAAACCACTATAAGATGAAGCTGCGTTTCCAAAGCTTATAGCATGCTATTTCACTGTTTTTATGATGCTTAAAACTTCGTTTCAAAATATTTCGAAAACGCTCTCATAAAATTTGTTCAAACTTTGATATAATTGAGGCAATTATGGCAGGTACAAACTCCCTTAAGCGATTTCTTAAAAAAACTCTTGGTACAGAGAAACACAAAGATAAATAAAAAACGTAATGGCGTCGTTACGTTGCTATGGCGACTCTGATTGCAATAAAACCCAGATCATAAGAAATTTTCATCTTTATATAATACAGTTGTGGTAATCTTTTTCCCATATCGTTACTTATGGCGACGTAGTTAATGCTCAAACTTGGGAGGTATCCCCCCCAAAAAATCCAGTCGAGCCACCTTAAGGTCCACAAGCAGTCAACCGTAGTGAACGTAAAGCCAAACGATAAGAAAATGAACCACATATAACGAAGTTTTGACAACACATATTAAAACGTGCACTGTACATATCGACAAAAGCACGCCATATAATGAAAAATACACTAAGTATATCACAGTAGGCGCGCAATATATTTGTTAATGGACTCCGTATATAAGGAAAATATGTCAATATATTCATTGATGGACCGCTCATAAAGGTATGAGTACTAGACATAATGGTGTCCCGAATGCATATAATACTCATCGGAAGACACGTGACGGTGTTGGCGTTCCATAAGGAACTGTTGGAAACGAATGACATAACACTATACTCAACTGAGAATGAAGAAAAATCTAGTGTTTGTGAAAGATGGAACCGTACAATTGAAACCAAAATGTGGAAGCAGTTTACTGTCCAGGGTAATACCCAATATCTCAAAATACTACCGAAAATACTGAGCCAGTATCACCAAACACAGCTCCATTAAAATGACACCTGTAGAAGTTAGTAAAAGAAGTATGAAAGTGCCGTGTATTTCAGTCTGTATGAAGATATGGAGCAATTGTCATCTAAACCTAGGTGCAAGGTTGGTGATAAAGTTAGGATAAGTACGTACAAATCCAATCACCTACAGATTAAACATGATTAAAGCTAAAAAAGGATCTCAATAAGGAGGAAATACACAAGGGAGCTTTTATGACCCTGAATTACTGAAGACAAAACAGATGTATTCCGAAAACAAGCTCTTGTGAAATGATTGGGTTATAGTGACGACTTTAAGTCTTGGATTCCACTGAGCAGCTTACAGGATTTATCTAACCAATAGTATAAATGGACGATCATATAAGAAAGCTAGATACTAAGATTCGTAGTGAGGAAGCTGAGCTTAACGCACAGTACACTAAATTCCAAAAGTTGGAAGAAGAGATTGCTACATTATACCACAAGAAATTGGTAGTGAAAAAACTGGAAACAGCTGAAATGTCATTAACCGGCGTCCAAAAAGTGATCTTTGAAACGGAAGAGGAGGAGGAGGAGAAAGAGTAAATGGCTTAAAGAGATATTAATATATACTATTTATAATGGTGTATTTATTGGAAAAGAAATATGTCAATCAATATATAAACTTCCTCAGATTTTCTGGAATGAGAAAAGCGTTTAATTTGCGAGCAAGCTAACATATTTATTGTACTACTGAGTTGACCA